ATGTTGTGTTTCTTTATTTTTAAACCATATTGTTGGTCAGTTATGCTCTCAACAGTCTTGTTTTAGATGCATATTATTGAAGTTTTACATGTTGTTGTACTCTCAATTTGACACTGTTTGTTGCTGTATTTCATTTTAGACTACTGAAGTACTGAAGTATCAAAACTGCAACCTAGATATTGTAAGTCCTGTGATGGGGAGCCAATGATGTCGCTATCACGTGTAGCGTGGCCTGGTTCCTTTCCCTCCAGGGACGAGGTTGTAGCTTGCACTCACTGAGACACACAACCACTCACATGCAGATCCATGTACAAACATTTATATCGACTGCTTATGGAACACCGACACAGATGCACATGGACTCAGCTGCTTCTTTGCGGATGGAGCACACCTATGTACTCACGTGTGTGCCAAGGTACGCTGATGAAGACAAAGTGGCTAATATAAGGCCAAGAGAAGGTTATGGGGCTCTGACGTGTAGACTTTGGCTTATATGGTACAGCCGTCGGTGGCGTATGAATGGAGGAACTGGACTATTGTGGCTCGGAGGAAAACGTGTCAAGACATAGATGAGTTAATTCCAGTTTCCTTGGTGTTGATTCCCCTGAAAGGTTCTCACACACGCACATTTCATTCAGTGACGCGGCTAAGCCACATCTACAAGCAGGCAGTGACTCCTGCAGGTAATGCGCACTAAATCACAATTTTTCTTTAATCAAAAACCAATAAGGTGACCCCAAACGCTTTGAAGCTTTGACCGTTGCCGCATGTGTATACATATGTATATAAATATGTACATATGTACGCATTATGCCATGAAATAAGGTATATCATTATTCCTTATGCATTAACTTTTAGTTTTAGAGTTATTCTAAAATGGAAAGCTGTTTGTTGTGGGTCGGTGTGGTGCTGTCTAAGGTGCTGAAACAAAGCAGAGGACATCCAAAGAACAACTGTTCTTTCATTTTTTCTTGAGGTAATTATTGTATTTTATTTCTTTATAGACCTTCATATGAAAAAAAAAAATTTGTTCTTAAGATCTAATTTATTGGGATTGTTTTGTTGCCATTTCCCATTTGAAACAAAAAATCCTGTCCTCTTCTTACATCTGACCATAATACAAAATGCAAGGTGTAGCAGAGTATAAGTATATATACTGACCACAGGTTTTAATAATAATAATACAAATGGTGCCCATCCAAGGCCAAGAGAAGACCAATCATCACCAACCTTTCATGTTGAAGGAGAAAATGGTAACTATGCATTTGTAGCCATTCACATTATCAGAATCATGTCTTCCATGTGGAACGGCTACAATAAATCTACAGCTGATCAGAGTCTGTGGCTGCCGGCGTTGCTCAGCACATCTCATAGCATGTGCTTGCCGTTGTGTGTGTGTGCATGAGTAATTCACTGTTATGTCATGCACCTCCTCCACCCCAGTTACGTCACATCACCATAGTAACCTCAGCCGGGGTGATGCATTCTGCCTCACTGGACCACCCTCCATCTACAAGCAAGGTCTATGTTCCAGTGTAAGTGGGAAACTCACACAGGTGAGTGTGTGTTATGAGTACAAATCGGGCTCACTCAAATCTTTTGGAGGGCTTGAATGTGCGCTCACTCACTCATTAATGGTTTCAACGGAGTCCCGGGGTTTTGAAGACAGCCATATAATGGCTACTGTTCCCCGTCGGGACGAGCTGCAGCAGAGAAACATATTTTAGCCTCCGAAAAGAACATCAGAATCAGTTAAAGGGTACAATATATGAAACCATAAGACTCCATAGACAATCACAGTCATTAACAGTTAGATGCAGAATACGAGATCTTCTTGTCAAATCAGATTCTTACTAGTTACTTATACACTGATTATATGGATATATATTTGAAAATAAATATATGTATATACATACCCTAACTCTGTTTACAAAACACTATTTTTGTCTTATCAGAGGAAAATATGTATTTGGTAGTTGCATACGCAGCACTCACACACACACGCGGTTCAGAAAGGCTAAATGAGAAACAGGTGTAGCAATTGCCTGCAATCTAGAGCCGGAGGTCCTCAATTAGCCTGATGGAAGGGGCTTATGATTTTTATGCGAACCTCCTCAGGGTAGAAGGGTTAGTTGGTTTTTGTTTGGAGTCTGGTTCGTGGGAGGTGAAGGGAGAAAGTCATTTAGAGAAGGGAGGAATGGTGACTTTTTGGTTTCATTTTGTTGTTTGTTTGTTTTTATTTTATTTGTTTCCGGTTAATGTAATGTTCTTTCTCCTTGTCTGCACTTTGGGAGACGCACAATGAATTTGCACCCCCTCTACATGCAACTACGCCATCTTTTTGTGCTGTTCAGCAAGGACTGAGGTTGAACTCCGTCACAGTACTATTCCAGCAAATTGGATTTTTTTTTTTACTTTACTGATGCAGGAAGGTTGGAGCATAACATCAGACAGTAAGACGATGGACTGGTAACATCTGAAGGGGAGGGGCACAAACAGGTTTTGTCGGGGTGAGAGGGGTCGGCTACCATCTTTTTAGCTGCTTCAGAGACCTGGAAGCGAACAAGTCCTGCAGGGACGGCAGATTGCAGCCGATCACCCTCTCTGCAGAGCGGAGGACACGCTGCAGCCTGCCCTTGTCCTTGGCTGTGGCTGCAGCGTACCAGACGGTGATGGAGGAGCAGAGGATGGACTCCATGATGGCCGTGTAGAAGTGGACCATCATCGTCTTTGGCAGGTTGAGTTTCTTCAGCTGCCTCAGGAAGACACTAGTGGTGGTGCTGCTGGGAGACCATCTGAGGCATATATAAATTACCCGTGGAGTAAAGGGGGTCTTCCTTTCTGAACTACTACTTAAGCTCCATTTTTGGGCCTCAAATTGCTTCTAAAAAGGTTTGTCAATATGAAGGTTTCTGCATGATTATGTTGCTACAGTATATACCCCTCTCCGTGGTCAGTGTATTACATGCAGTAACCATTCAAGACCGAAGCAATGTACTGCTGTGAGTGCTGCATTAGCTTCGGATCCAAAAGTCCCCACTAAGCACCAGAAGCTCCCACATTGTGTAGAAGGAAGTTTTCGTCCATGAGGTCTGGGGTCTTGGAAGAGAGCGACGTAAGACTTCAGTACCCTGTCAGAAAGGGATAGGTCGATCCCTTGTATGTGTACAGGAACACAGATCTTTGTTTGTTACAGGCTACACAGTACATACCATGCCACTGATCCAACATTTGTCTGTTACACAACAGCATATGTCAACATGAGCGAGCAAAACCAGGACGAAGCAAATGGAATGTAATGGAAGCGAGTCAGATCGAGAAAGATTTTGCATACTGCCACGCACCAATCAGGGATTATCTCAACTCCGGGAGATAAGAGGTGGATTGTTCAGCCACTGTCAATCAAATTGATTGATCCACACCCACACATCCCAGATGAAGCAGATTAGCTGTGTCTAACTTCACGGTTACAAGTATTTTATACTTTAGAGACCTACTGTGAAAAGTTATGCAGAAGTTTCAGATCGTCCATATTATTATTAATGTGTGTGTGTGTGTGTGTGTGTCTGCCAGTGAGCAAGCTACAACCTTGTCCCTGGAGGGAAAAGAACCAGGTCCCAAGGACATTGCTCCTAGGACACACTGCTGTACCGAGCTGAATGGGAGGGCAACATCCAGGACCCACATGCCAAATAGCTGTATGTGTTCAATTCAAGGGAAGAGCGACTACAGGGACCCAGGGCCCAGAGCAGCGTCCTTCTGATAAGATATCTGTTGAGTCTCCTGTTAGCAATAGGCTCTGGGAGAATGTGCCTTTGGTAAACAGATGTTCATATACGTCAAAGGGAAGTAGAGACGGAGTGGATCTGATCCGCGCAGGCTTTGTCAGGGTTGAAAGCACTAATGGAGTTTGCTGGTTTGGTTCGGACAGTAGACGCTATTTAAGAAGCGGACCAGTGACGTGTGGTGAGGCTCTTGGCAGATCCGGACTCTCAGTAGATTTATACATAGGTTACATAATTAATTCTACTAGGAATGTGTGCACCACGATCCAGCTTCAAGAATGGAGAAATCATTTATATAATTTTATCGTTATTTGTTTTTTTCTTGATGACCACACATACATGACGTGGACGTATTAACAGTGACGTCCCCGATTGTTGGTGGACTGCCCTTTGGACTTCTTGGATTACAGCCTTTATTGTGCTACGAAATGTTTGAAAAATAGACCTTGTTGTGTATATGAACAACGGTGTTTTTCACATTTGCATTCTGTGTGAAAGTATGGATCATCTTTCCAGTATGATTGGTGGTGTTCACGGTTATTACTTAAGATGTTAACACACATATCGATCATATCAGAGCCAGATTACAGCAGCTACAGCCATCACTCCAAAGCATCCCCTTGTAGCTCGCTGCCTCTCCCCTCTTCCATCCGCCCTGTCACAAAATATCTTGTGTTTCTGCGTATTAGTATAGTCGAGCTCAGCGCTATTTATAGATGCCCCTGTGCGCGGTGGGAGTGAGGAGATGGGTCGGAGGTGGGCGTGCTTCAGGTCACCGTGACCCAGATGACTGAGCTGCAATGATCGGCCTGGCGGCGCTCAACGTGCTGCCCCACTGCGGCGACACAAGACGCACGTCTCCTCAGCCTTTTCTTCTGCAGGGGGGATTGAGGAATGTCCATTAACTAAAGAGCGCCCACAGCCATCAGTCCCTTTGTGCATAACGAACATGCATCTTTTTAAGCCGTTACCTAACGTCCATGTGCAAAAGTAACAAATATGTGGGATCTCTGAAACTGTTACATAAAAGAAATTTGTGGAATGTGACGTAATGCGTTCAGGATCTTTCCCCAAGACAACTTCCCCCCGGGATACAGCGGCCTGCCACTAACGGTTTGTCTGGCTGGTTTGTTTGCCGTCCTTTGTTAACTCCATTCGAACCATTCATCCGTCTCTTTCTCTCTCCTCTTTTTTTACCCCCTTGGACTCTTTTAGGATATAAAATGTCAAGCTCATCTGGTGAGGAAGGGGAGAGGTGGGAAAGCCGTCACCTCTTGCAGGAGGTCTACGTCAACGAGTCCAATCCCTACAGCGAGCCCACAAAGAACTGCACAGAACCAGGTAGGACGAGCCAGAGGCTCTGGGAGAGAACAGAGAATCTCCTCCGCTCCCATTGGCCGTGAAATTCCTGTTTAAGGGATTACATCACCCACAAATTAGCAATTTCTATTTGCACCATTCTCTGTTTTCCCTGTAAAAAATGTAGTTTTCTCGTGTGCCTTTGTGGTGAAATGGCGAAAAGGCTTGATGAATTGGAGGGAATGGGGCCTTACCAAGAATTATTAAGACATCAGAATCCTGTATGATTGTAAAAAAGAAAAAGATTGAGAAAAGGAAATATAAAGATGTGAGACCCTCTACCTCCGTCCACACACACACTGAGACTCCTCTCTTCCAGCTAACACTGATCATCAGAGCGTGCATGTGTCCCTGCATGTGTACCGAAAGTGTGTTTGTTTCCTCTGTGGGCTCGTTGGTGTGCGTGTGTGTTTTCCATGTGGAATCCTGGGGCTTTACAAGGCTGACGTCCTGCCAAGCATTCTCTTGATCTCATTGTAAACACACCACCTCCGTCTAATGCCTGCATGCGCGCACACACACACATGCACAGAGAACACGTGCGCTCCTACCGCCTGCAGAGATCGGATTCCGCAGTCTGAATGAATATGACTTTATATTTAGACGGCGCATAGTTTATTGTCTGTTTCTGTTTAATTACGCTTTGTCTGCTGAAACACTAATTGTCTTTATGGGGATTATTCCTGCAGATCGCACTCCTTAAGGCTTCTGCCTCTCCATGTTTCTGCGTCTTTACGCGTCGACGCACTGGTTTCACTTCCTGGTTGTAGTCTTGCGTGTGTTGCAGAGCGATTCACCTCCAGAACAACAGGTGGAGTCACGTGTTTTGTTGAAGACGACCTGGAGAGTCACGTCTTTGTGTGTGGAAGTCGTTGGTTGCTTTATTTATTGATCATAGACTTTATTGCCCCGTGCATCCACACTGCTGCTTTTCATCAAGGACACATTTGTCCCGTATTTTCCTCCACGACTTTGTTCCCTCGTTTGTGGAGATCTCCCTCCATCAATCAGAGGCCATCCGGCGTCCTCATAGTCCGCCAATGACGGCTTGTACAAGCGCTCATATTTACGCATTTCTTCCCACAAAAGCTCTTCAATCTGATCCGTTCTCCCGTAAACATTCTTCCTTTTAATAACGGCCGTATTGTGCTATGAAAGTGGAGATGTGAGACTCCGTAAAGGACGTAGTCAGCAGACCAATCACAGCCTGGTGCTGCAGGAGGCTGCGTCGCTTGCGTCTTTTTATTTCCATTTTCACAAACCATAACATTTCTTCTTAAGTTTAACAAAATTGGTTTTTCAGATTTTTTCAGAACACAAAAAAAGCACAAACTGAATACTGTCTCACATTGGAGGTCTTCTTAAAAGGTTATTGTATACTTTTTCATCATGATGAAGTAAATGTTAAATGTGTATAGCAAAATGGCTTCAGAAGAACAGTAACATTGGTATCTGGGTCTATTTTGGATTGTTGCCAGGCAGCTAAACAGCAGCAGCAATCAGCACCAAACAGACCAAAAACCATGAAACATGAATGCTTTAAAAAAGAAAGTCACAATGATTATTTAACAGTTTAGTTCTATAAATCTTTGATTGATTACCTGTACAGTGAAATAGCAACTGACAGCGTTCAGAAACGCCTCTGACCAACAGTCTGGGGTTCACTCCATCAGAGGAGGCGCTCCTTTGCATTCCTACGGCGACGCTCGGCGTGTGCTGTAATGTGTCGGATCATTGACACTTAACTCTGCACAGACACACACCATGGAGGAGCTAGTACACACATTGTGTCTTCCTTTCTTTTTCACGGCTCACTTTTAGTTTTTGTCGTTCTCCATCCTTCACTAAGGTCACACGCCGACATGTGCACACGTTCAGCTCCAACCCTGTGGAGCGGGAAGCGCGTGGGATTACAGATAATCCTGTTTACACTTCTCTCCCGTCTCGGATCACGCAGCACAGACACAAAGTATGTATTTGTGTGTGTGTGCAATGACCTCTGTATATTTATATATACTCTAGAGGTTTGGAAGTCAGCAGTGGTCGACAGCAGACTGTTGAACCACCTGATCAGTTACACTTTGGGTCCCATTTCTTTCTCTCATGTCAATTAACCATAAAGAAACCAATTTGTTATAGCCTCGTTATACTCCAGTATCACAAATGACGCATCATTTAGAAGGTTACGCTCTTTTTGCTCAGTTTCTCTTCCTTGTGCGCTCTCTATGAAGTAGAGTAAGGCTTGTCTGTGATGCGTCATCGTTGGAATCACTTTTTCATCTATCCTCCCTGGCCATCTCATTACAATACAAAATGATACACAATTGGCTTTAAGCCTTCGCTTAAGTTCTGGTTTAAAATGTTAGGTACGTTTGCTGCTCCCTCTTTATTCAATAAATTATTCAAAAATATACCAATTTGATAGCTATATTGCAAGAAAAGTTGCACAACGTAAATTCACATTCCCCTGATGATGAATTCTTCCTAATTTTGATCAAGGGCTTTGCCTCAGCAGTCCACAGTCCACAGCAGCAACATCCTCCAGATAAGATTTTTTTTAAGCTATAGATCAGGGGTGTCAAACTCATTTCAGGTTAGGCCCAGATACTTTGATCAAAAGCGTAGCGAGGACGGTACCACGGCCGACCTGGGGACCTTTCTGTAATTCTCACATTAGCAAAGTCAAAGTCACCCGGCGGGCCGGATTTGGCCCGCGTGCCGCAAGTTTGGAAAATATATATAAAGTCTATTGTGCCCACCAATAAACGAATGCTCCCTTGCGCTAAACCCTTTGATTGAAATGACCCCGTGGGCCACCTGCGGACTGAAACCACATTGTTTGGCCCCATTTGTCAGACCTGGACGGGAGGCCGTGACTGTCTTTCACAGGCTTGACCCGGCTGACGTTAAAGGTGGAGTGGGTGCGCAAGGAACGGGGCAGGCGAAGGCGTACAGCAGCAGGACTGATGACTTGTGAAATGGGGAAGGGACCCACGATCGAGGTGCGAGCTCCCTGGACGGAACCTTGAGGTTCAGGTCCTTTGCGGAGAGCCACACTCTCTGGCCGGGCTAGTAGTTAGGTGCGGATCACCTTCTGCGGTCGGTCTTCCATTCATCTGACCAAATGATAAGCATTGCGTAAATCCAGTTGGGTGAATATCTTGGCCTGCTGCAGTTGATCAAAAACTGACGACATGAGGGGTAGAGGGTAAGGGTTCTTAATCGCAATCTCATTTAATTGGCAATAGTCTAAGCATGGCCTTAAGAAACCATACTTCTTCCCCACAAAAAAGAAGCCGGCACCTGCTGGAAACGAGGAGGGACGGATGAGCTCTGCCTTAAGTGACCAGTCTACGTAGTCCCTCATGGCCTCCCTCTCTGGTCCTGAGATGGAATACAGGCGCCCCTTGGGGATGGTGGAACCGGGAAGGAGATCAATGGCGCAGTCGTAAGGATGGTGCGGGGGGGAGTGATAGTGCCTTAGACCTGTTTCAACACCTCCTTAAGGTGATGATAGCACGGAGGCACCGAGCTTAAGTCGGGATATTCAGGGTCTTCAGGGGAATCAGCAGAAACAATGTTAAGCATGGTTAACCCTCTCGAGTCAAGACAACAACTCTCACAGTCCTCTCCCACCCCATAATCTCCCCAGATCTCCAATCAATATGGGGGTTGTAGCAAAGCAGCCATGGTAATCCTAAAATCAAAGCATGACTTGATGAATCAAACAGAAAAAATGTCATGATTTCCTGATTGTCCTGCAGGTGCAGTTCTACCGGCTCTGTGCCGTGAGTGATGGTAAACAAGTAATTTCCATTAAGATCCTGGGCTTTGATGGTTCTCTCTAAACGTTCAGTCCTCAGCCCGAGCCTCTTGGCTAAACCCCAGTCCATAAAACTCTCGTCAGCCCCAGAGTCTATGAACGCTCTAATCTCTGTAGGAACAGCGTGGTGTATTACCATAACGTTCGTGAGGCTCCGGGAAGCGGGGCGTGAGGTCTTGGAGTTACTCACCCTGATAGACCGTCTGGCTGGGCAGACAACAGCAAGGTGTCCCTTCTCCTCACAGTAAAAACATTGACCCTCCTGCTGTCGCTGCTGCCGCTCCTCCCGTGAGAGTCGTGTGCGCTCCAGTTGCATGGGCTCCTCTCCTCGGGGCGTAGGGGAGTGCGCACATGTGACGGGATCTCCGGACGGGGGCTGTGGGAAACCTCCCCATGTCCGCTGGTCTGCTCCGCACTGACAGGTAAAGCTCACGTAGCCTGTTGTTGGTTCTAATAGCAAGCGCGATCAGGGAATTCAGGTCAGAAGGAAGACCAGGGGAACCAGGAGCTTGAATGGGTGCAACTAAACCCCTTCAGAAAAAGGTTAAAAAGTGCGGTGGAGTTCCATCCACTCTCCAGCCGCCAGGGTGCGAAATAGGATGGCATATACTGTGTGGGTGCCCTGCTTAATCCCACTCAGGATGTCTTGTCAGATGTCTTAAAATCTGCCAGTGAGCTGCAGAGGGGAGACTCACGTGCCCACTCGGCTGTGGCCCATGCTCGAGCACTCCCCGTCAGGGGGGAAATCATGAAGATGATCTTAGATCTGTCATTGGGAAACGCCTGCGGCGTGTGTTCAAAATGGATTGAGCAGTCTATCAAGAATGGTTTACACTGACCCGATTCTCCTGAAAACCGTTGTGGGGGTCTAGTTACAGTCCAATTACTGGTCCAAAACCCGGGCACTGCCGGCGCTGGAGTGGGGGCTGTTGGGACCACGGGCACGGTGGGTGGACCTGACGGTGGACTGGCAAGACTAATGAGTTTCTGCACTTCGATAGGAGTTGGAGACTTGCTGCCATGGCCGCCTGGAACTCCTCCTGACGAGATAAACATGATTCCTGGACTTGAAGAGCCAAAACCTAACAGAGACCTGACTCTGGAACAAAAAAGAGCTGCAAAGAAAAATCACTCGAACGAGGTAAAACTATGGTCACGAGACTAGACTAACTATGGCTATGCATCTTGGACACTGGTAGGACGATACACTGGCACAAGACAAAGGGAGACGCTGACTATATGAAGACATGGGGGAAGAGGGAACGAGAGGACACAATCAGGAATCAGGGAAGAAAATCAGACGGGTGACACATCAGAAAGGGCAAGGAACCTGAAACGGGAGGAGATTTAATCGCCAAAATAAAACAGGAAGTTACGAAAACAAACGTAGAGACACGACAAAAACCCAACTAGACATACAGGTGTGACACCATTACTGCCACGGTCTTAAAAAAAGCTGTAGCATGTTGTTTAACCTTGAGACCTTTGTTCCCCAGACAGTTCAATGTTGCCTGCTGCAGCCGTCTCAAGTTACTTCCAACTTTTTTTCTTTCTCCTGTGGAATTACTGGACATTCTAGTCAAAGGTGCGCTCACCTTTCGTCACGCTGTGAGACACCGTAGCTGGCGGGCTTCCAGCTGCTCAGAGCAGGCCGCGACACGGAGCTCTCGAAGACGAAGGGTGGAGGAATCTGCTTGTACCTCAACAGCAGCTAACAGTGATCCTACAACACTGTTCTCCTGATCTGGAAACTTTCTTCATCAACTGAACCATTTTACCCCACCGTGAGTTTGCTTCTTTCATCCTGGTCGGTGTTTACATGATAACGTGCACGAGGCACAGCCGACACTCGCCGATCAGATACGGCGTGTGGAGCGGACCAACCCGGACTCCTTAGTTATTGTCCTCGGGAACTTTAACAAAGGTAATCTCACCCATGAACTTACTAAGTACGGACAGCTTCAGGAGCTTGACGGACTGTTGACTGGAGGTGCAGCTGTTGGTGTACAGGGAGAAGAGCAGAGGGAAAAGAACGCAGCCTTGGGAGAACCGGTGCTGATGGTCCGAGAGGCTGAGACATGTTTCCCCAGCTTCACATGCTGCTTCCTGTCAGACAGTAAGTCTGTGGTCCACTTGCAGGTGGAGTCGGGCACGTGCAGCTGAGAGAGTTTGTCCTGCAGCAGAGACGGGATGATGGTGTTGAAGGCAGAACTGAAGTCCACAAACAGGATCCTGGCGTAGGTTCCTGGGGAGTCCAGATGATGGAGGATGTAGTGGAGAGCCATGTTGACAGCATCGTCCACAGACCTGTTGGTTCTGTAGGCGAACTGCAGGGGGTCCAGGAGGGGGTCGGTGAGGGACTTCAGGTGGGACAGGACTAGCCGTTCAAAAGACTTCATAACTACACATGTCAGGACGACGGGCCTGTAGTCATTGAGTCCTGTGATCCTGGACTTCTTGGGAACAGGGATGATGGTGGAGGCTTTGAAGCAGGCTGGTACGTGGCATGTCTCCAGGGAGGTGTTGAAGATGTTAGTGAACACCGGAGACAGCTGGTCAGCACAATGCTTCAGGGTGTGAGGGGAGACAGAGTCCGGGCCGGCGGCCTTACGGGGGTTTTGTCTTTTAAAGAGCCGGTTAACGACCCTCTCTATTCTAGAGAGGGTCGTTGCTGGTGGGGGAGGGGAAGGTGATATAGATGTAGAGGCGTGAGCCCCTGATGGGCGGGGGATTGGGGCAGGTTGGTGGAGCTGTGGGGGATGGGATCAGGACATTGTCTATCAAATCTGCAGTAGAACTCCGTCTGCAGGTGGAGGTCATTCATGGAGTGGGGGGGGGGTTTGCTTGTAGTTAGTGGGAGCATTTTGCAATATAGGGCAAATTCATTTATCCCCAATAACAGCTACCTTGCAGAAGTACAATGTATTCAGACATCACTGCCGTCCCTGGTCCAAGGCCAGCTGGTGGACAGGTCACCCATGGGGACTCGCCCCTGAACACATTTTGTGTGGGAGGGCAGCTCCACCTAGGCGCCGATTGAGGAGACAATTACGTGTGTTTTATTTGTACCTCCATGTTGCCTGAGTTGGATTTTATTTTTAAGCCATCTGTGGCTCTTTGAAGGCTCACTAGTACCCCTTTTCCACCAAGGCAGAACTGGTGCTAGTTCGGAGCTAGAGCCTAGTTTCAAATCGGTTCTTTGGTTTTCCACCACCAAAGCACCAGCTCTGAACCAGTAAAAGTGGTTCTTAAGTAGCACCATATCATTGCTGGTCTAGAAGTAAGAGCCGCTTACGTCAGCGGCTGGGGGCGGGGTTACCGTGACCAACAAGACGAGAGAAACTTTGTGATCCGCCATTTTTCGATAACAGCTAATCAAGCTAACTGCTTTCTTGCACTCTGGTCCTCTTCAGAAGTCCAGAGTAAGTTAGATGGGGCTTCGCGGACGAAACCGGTTTTGCAGCAGATTCAGAGAGAGATGGCTGTAGCTGGTTTTGACCGGAGCCAAACAAACTAAAAAAACTAAAGAAAGACTATAGGGACCAAAAAAAGGACCTCGATCGAAGCGGCAATGGGCGCCCACGGCAAAATCCACATTTCAACGTTCTCGACTGTGTTCTCGGCGATAGGCCGGCATGCCAGGTGACCGGGGCGCTGAACTCGGCCACAATAATGCTCGAGTCAATGCTGGATGATTCGCCGCGGCAAAGTTGCACTGATCATGGTAAGTTCAGTTTTTATTTGACTTGTTCTTATCTTAGCATGTTTCTTAGCTGTTAAAGCACTGTTGTCTTGTGTTTGTTTTTATAGAACTGTCTGCCATCAACGACGACAACGTTGAGTTGCCGCCACCGCTGGGATGCAGCTCTCCCGTGCCGTCGTGTAGCAGCTCTGGAGAAGCATCTTCAGAACGGGGTATGTTCAAATTATCACACCATACACTATGCAAACATTGAGATGTGTCTGTAATATATATATCTATATATATCTATATATATATTACATATATATATTACATATATATTACACACATTGTATAATACTGTGCACTGAAACATTGTTTTATATTTATGTTTTCATTTAACTTCTGAACAGCAATACAAAATGCTTTATGTCAAAATTCAATTATATGACCTTAATCGAAAAGCAAAAATGTCTTTATATAAAAGTTTAGAATAGAATATAAAGTCAATCTGATATTAACTTGCTATATACTATATAATGTTGATATACTGTTTATTACGGGACATGAGCAAAATCTGAAGTGATATTGATGTAGTATGATGCTATACATTTTTTTTATATAATCAATATAGCAGATACATATGCGTAATTCTCTGCTGAAAACTACTATTTGCGATGCTATGACAACACCTTGACGATCTGTATATGTTTTTTGTTATTATTGTTCTACACAGGAAAAAGGAAGAGAGATGGTACCTCGGAAATCCTTCAATATCTGGAAAGGGCAGATGAGAGGTTCCTGCAGCACAGCAAGGCAATGGATGACGCCTTGTGTCAGGACATGAGAGCGGACACACAAACCCTGCTTGGACTCATGGGGCACATGGTGGCCGTATTGGAGGCACAAGTTAAAAAATAATTTTGGTTGCCGCTTTTCATGTCATTTTTTAATTTCTTTTTACAATTGTTGTTACCTACAGAACTTTATTTTTTTATAAGATTTCTGTTATTTTTTTTGGTTTAAATAAACATGTTTAGTAATGCAAATATCTGGTCCAGTTTCTTAAACACTTAACAGGCAAATATTGCATTATGGTTTGTGTTTTTAATGCAATTTACTTTCATATAAATGTGTACATTAAACAGCCAAGTGATGCGATTAGCTGTATATACAAATCTATATTATTTTGACATGAAATATGATTAAAATCCAAATTACTTCATGATTGGAAGTTAATAAAAACTTGGTTGGTTTTAATCCCAGCCAGAAGTGTGAAAGGGTTGTTGATTGAGGATGATTGATAAATGATTCACAAAATGCACGTTTTAGAGATAACATGGTTCATTTAATGGATGAGAATGTAATACAATTCAAAAGTGTAGATTTCAATAAACACAAACTGCAGTGTTACAAAAATATTGCAACAAATATAGCTTTGGTGTATTTAAAGAATCACTCGTTCCCTCTGTTAAAATGCATCATTAATGCAGCTCTGATTTCAGCCCCTTCTGTGTTTGCCCGCTCAGGTATTGTCTGAGCAGTAGGCTCTATGTTTAGAGTCCTGTCTGGTTGCTCTTCACTGAAATTATCACCATGTTCCTCACAAATGTTATGGAGGACACAGCAGGTCAGTGCCATCCTCTTGCTCAGCTCCAGCTTGCAGTCGTCTTTTTTTAGGAGGCAATCTCCCAAAAGACATCTCCACAACCGATCGTGCACTGCTCAGCCTGTAATTGTATGTGTGCTGTTCAGGGGTCAGTCTGCCAGTGTCGCAAAAGGGCTTCATGAGCCAATTCTGCATGGGATATGCCGGATCGCCGATCAGGTAATGTCCAACATCACAGCCAGAGATAGTCACTTTGTTTTGCCCTAGTAATTCCCCGTCACTTAAGGCCTCCCACAAATGTGACTGTCGTAGCACTCTGGCGTCATGCACACTCCCTGGATAGCCAACACAAACATCCCAGAATAGACCTTTGCCATTCACTACTGCTTGCAGAACAATAGAATGCCAGCCTTTACGATTGAAATAGTCTCGTGGATAGTCCTCTGGTGCAATTACTGGAATGTGGCTGCCATCAATTGCACCCACACACTGTGGAATTCTCCAACGATTATCAAAGAAAGTGGCCATTTCTAGCAACTTTTCAGCATCAGGAAATGTAATGTGGATGGGAAGGAGCAGTGTGATGACTGTGTTGCAGAATTCCTGAACACAATTAAATACAGTGCTGAGGCCTACTCCAAAAAGATGGCTAATTGTCCTGTATTCAACACCCGTGGCCAGTTTCCACATGGCAATAGCCACACGCTTTCGGATTGGGACACACAAACTGTAGTTTGCGTTTCTTCTCCCCATGGCATGTTTGACCTGGCAGCAGATGTATTCAAATGATCCTGCGGATACGCGTAAATTCTGCATGAATTGTAACGGTGAAATCCGGAACAATTGTGTCCCACCAGTGGTCAGATCGTGGGTATGCCCACATTACCGGTGACCTCCGCCTTGAGCTGCAAGATTGCCTGTAAAGATAAAAAAATACATACGTTTCATCTATGGGAAATAGGATATAGGTATATTTTCTATCAAGTGTACAGTGCTGTATAAATACTATAGAAATAGTTGAGCTGTAGCTGTGAAGCGTTTATTAATTCAAAGTACCACTTAAAAGACAAGGCTACAAGGTTTTTTTCAGTCTTTTTAGGTTCATGCATTGTGTTTTTCAGACAACTTACTGGTCACATGTTTGCAGATTTTCTAGTTTTAATACTGTGAGTGGTTTTCGCCTGTAACTCAGACATACATACAAGTGTTCACAAAAATGGCGTCGTTATACTTATTCAAGCAATGCTTAATACATTTTTTTTAATTGCAATGCGATCGATTATCAGCAAAGTCGATGTTAGGAGGTTAGCAACATGCTAAGGCTAAATATGAATCTCAGGCTAAAGTCGGCATCTTATTGTTAAAAATAAATGTTGTACATACCGTTACTCTCGCTTGTAATCTCCGTCTGTACGAATAAAGGCGAGCCGCGCGAACATGTTTGATCCGCCGTGTTTGGATGTCGATCCGCAAAGCCATGAACATCAATAGCAAAGCAACGTCCGCCATTGTTGAAGATGTGTTTGTGTTTGCCGCCGCCGCGCTAACGTTGCTGGGAAAGATGAGACGTGACTGTGACGTAGGGCTCTGCGCTGGCTCCTTAGCCTGTGGAAAAGCAAACCGGTTCTTTGGAGGCTCGTCAGTTGAACCAACTCCGAACCGGCTCTAGCTCCGAACCAGCACCTGGTTCTTGTTGGTGGAAAAGGGGTATAGGACTACGAGACTGCTGGCCAGCTGGGAGCGAGTTAGTGTGTTGGGGATGGATGATGATGGAGGGCCAGGGGGTGACCTCTGCACAAAAATAATACAAGGTATAACAGGAAAGAAGAACATTATCAAGGAGAGATAAATTGGCGGATAGTGGGGCGGTACGGGCACGCTGCTTTCCCTTTCAGTAACAGAAAAGCGGCTGGGAAAAAAAAGACACAAAATATGGTGATCCAAATGTAGTTGTATTTTACTTCACTGGTCAGAACCCGTCCAACTGGAATCTGCCACCTACTGCTGTGTCTCTATACAGTAGGAAGTCAAACCGTACGCTTCATAATGGTGTAATGTTATGCATAGTCTGCCACTTCACACACACACACGACCACTGACACATGGAGATTAAGGTTTAAATGTCATATTACTCAGCAGAGTAATGGTGGACCAGCTACACTGGAGGTGTCGGATTTCATCAGCGTCTGGTATGTGTGTTTTACTGCAGTCTGCTTGCCTGCATTAGAACCAGGTTTGGAGTTGCGCCCTCTGCTACACCCTGCTGACCTGGGCGGTGTGAAAAAGACCATTCAGGTGCAGCTGTGAGTTAGTGTTTGTGTGTGCGCGCATTAGCCAGTACAGAACGTGCTTACGTTCTAATTCCATTGGACGGTTGGTTGTTGCCTTCAAACCTTTGTTGCCTGCAGGTTTCAGTAGCAGTGTCCTTTATCCTGAGATTTGAAATTACACCAAAGCCGACGGAACCATTTTATACCCTCACTGCGTCAAATATGGAAAATCATGAAAAGAGCACAAAATGATGTTTTTAAATGTAATATCTATAGTGGGTCTTATGTCAAGTATTACAATTTCTCTAAGGAAGGCTTCACACCAGAACAATAGCCGTCGGCAAAGTCGGTCTGGTAGTAAAATTCAAAATAAAATGTTTATTTCTAACAAAACCAAATGAAGTCACAAATTGAATCACATAAAATTGTTACGATGTGCAAACGGACCCAAATGCAACACGCAGGACCACCAAGGTTTCTCTTGATCCAACAGGACCAAAACAGCAACGGGAGACACAAGTCAATTGTGAGTGGCTGAAAAAAGGAAACCAGTCCAATGGGCCACGCGTCCGTGCGCTCCGATCCGTAATCACGCAGAAGGGTGATTCTGCCGCTGCGTGACTAGGCGGCAGACAGGCAGGGCAGCTCGACTGTGACACCCGAGGCTCATGATGATCATCATCCAATGAGAATAAAGATCTCAACTCCTTCAGAGTATGTAGATGAAAACAAGCCCAAAGCATCAGATTGATACGAATGAACAGGATCTATGTATCAGCTTATGTAGCATATGTAGATGACCATATAGAACTAGTTTATTATATGTGTGAGAATGTGTATGTGAGAATCATTATACATCCATTGTTCATAATCAGACATTTGAGCAATTGAAGCAGTGAAATGTGGAACATCTAGAAGTTTATTAAGAGACAAATAAACCAACAGAACTTTACGAAGAACACGACATGCAGCGGCTTTCCAGATGTTCTCTGCATCGCAACACCGTACAGACAGGACAGTATGTGAGACAGTTTGTGAGACAGTATGTGAGACAGTGTGTTAGACAGTGTGAGAGACATTGTGTGAGACAGCATGTGAGACAGTCTGCGGGACAGTGGATGCTCGGCTGCAGAGTGTGGCGATCATCACGTAACTGTCATGGTGTGGTTCACTTCCTGTCTTATTTTGTAGTTTTCTGCCACTCGTGTCCCCGGGTAACTTCACTTCCTGCCTTGTCCTGTCATCCCCTGTGATCGTCTAATAGTTTCCACCTGTGTCCAATCACCTGCACCTCCCTGTGTATTTAAGCCGTGTGTCTCTTGTGTCACTTGTGGCGTCATTGTCTTTCGTCGTGGATGTTCCTTGTCTTTCGTCGTGGATGTTCGTAGTTCCTGCCTGCTGTTTTTCCCCTGGTTCCTGTGTGTTTTTGCCCCTTTTGCTTTTGACTATTAAAGTCTTTTGCTTTTGATAATCAAAAGTTCTTTTCATGGGCTTAGTTGGGGGTCCGCTGTCTTGTCTTGATTTAAGAGTTAGGTAAGGAGCAGGCAGACACGAGTCTGACAGGATGGGGAGTCAGTTTATGTCCTGGCTGAGGAATGTAAGGTCTGCGGGTCAACTAGAAGATTTACCAGCCAAAGGGGGGTTAGAGACACACCAACACTATTCAACATACACACTCTGTTTACGATGTTTACGTTAAGTCAGGAGTCTGGACATTGGATGTGACCGGATCTAGATGCGGGAGGTGGAAGGTCCTCCTCTACGCCAGTTTAGGGCCAATAGAAATCTTTCCTTCTCTGTCTTTCAAGGGTTATAAAACATGATGTTCTTGCTGATGTTAGTTAGCTGTTCTTCCGGCCTGTGTGCTGCCTGAACTGCTCCTGCCTTTGCAAACGCAGCGCTGATACTTGACCTGTGATCTGACAAATAAATTTCCCAGAACGAGAGAAGTCATTCGGATGAATTTTTGATAACCCCGACCAGGCTCCAAATCTTGAACACGTATTCTTACACTTTCTAAGAAGTCTGCGTTTGAGTCCTGCCTCCTCCACCCATCCCTGACAGTAACGTAACGGGGAAATCTTCTTGTCCTCAGCATCTGTAGCGCTCGTACAGGACGTCATGGCGGCTATCGGGTCTTCGTGATCTCGGAGAAGTCTCTCCCTATAAAACGTTCATCTAACTGATGTCGCTCCTTCATCAATGAGGAAGTGATGAACTGATCCAGCAGCTCAAAAGGAACCTGCACATGTGTTGCTGTGGTGATTTAGACAAACCTGCTTCAGGGAACCGAAAAGCCTGAACTACGTCATCTCATCCTGAAAATGATCCGGCTAACTCAGTTAGCACGTACGAGGAACAGGGCCCAGGGTTAGACAGGAATCCTCACAAAAATAATATTCAATTCAATAGAGGCTTAATGTGTTGACAGACTAATACCAGTTAGCTATAAAGTTAAGAGGTCTGTTGATTTGTTAAAATGTCAGCATAAATTGTCTTGAGGTCCTCCTTCTCTTCCACCTCCTACAATGAACATCCTTATGTCCATGATTTATCAATATATTCCTGGTCCCATTTTATAACAATTGTTGATTCTATGCCATGTGACATTTATCAATGTCCCAGTTAACGACCATCTTCAATCGCTGATCAGCGTGAGCCCCCACCTCGACTGATGAATGATGGTTGCAAAGAATCTCTAGTTGCTGATTGGAAACCACTTTAAAAATTATACTTTAGTAGTTACATATATGGGGAATGGAAGTGATTGTGATGATGAACCTACAAGAAACATTTTTTCTAATTTATTTATTTTATTATACAAATGCACACAGAAGGCTTTACAAATTACATTTCAATGCATACATCAATAAATTACGTTTTTATATTTGTGGATCGCACTGCATTTATTTGCGGATCGCTTCACGTTTGTGTGTGGGTTTTTTGAGACTCTTGCAGATTGTTAACACCGTTTTTTCCAACATGGACCTGGCTGTAGCCAATCAGATGTCGCCCTCATTTCCAACCAATCACATGAGCGCAGCTCCTCCCTCCCCTTTTATGCAAGAGGCCCTGAGCCACACACCATAGCAAAAGCTTTGACAGCAAGGGGGAATTAGGGCGGGTTAGGTCTGTGTATAGGGCATATCTTTGGTGTCCTCCCTGTATGTTTTTTGTTGGTTTAGTCAGCCACTATATATATGTTTCACTGTTGGGTGGGGAAGTTGAAGGGGTTACTGTGCATTGCTAGACTTTATGTTGCAACAGTTCGGCCTACGTCTTGAATGTGGCCCTAGAACTCCATTATCAGATGTATCAGATCAGAAATGTGCCTCGTGCCTTGACAACTTGGTCCACGACATTTGGTAACAGAAGTGGGATCCTCCAGTCAAAGACAAAACGTTTTTTTGTCTTTCCTGTTTGATTTTTGAGCTTTTACATGCTTTGATCACCAAGTCATGCAAGGCGGTGGGAAAAGTGGAAAAGGAGCACGAGGTGATGCTCAGAACCGTCCGACTGAGGGGAGGCCTAATGGTGGTGAGGAAAAAGAAGCCTCTGGAGGGGTGGAGAGCACTGAGGACAAAGATATGGAGCCGACTATGTCGTACCTGGTCTCCATTCTTTGGTGCCAGGTAGAGCAGCAGGAGGCCAGATAGGCCAGACGGGACGAGGAGAACGGCGGCAAGATCCCACACCAGTTCCGGCTACTTCAGGAGGAAGTAGAAGCACGTACTACGCCAGTGCCTGAGCTTCTGCCAGATGAACCTGAACCACCTGATCCTGAACTTCCAGAAGCTGGCCTCCCTCTCAAAATTGTTCCTGAAAATGAGATCTACCGGGCTCATGCCTCAGCAGGTCAGTCTCAGCTTCACAAGCCAAGATTGGAGAACTTTACTGAGGATGATAATAATCTCCATGATTATGATGAGACATATCGGCTGAGATTCCACTCCCTTCATATAAAGCCAGAGGAGAACCCAAATGAGGTGTATGCATCATTAAAGTAGTTGTACTGAAAGTGGATTAACCCAAAGGGCAAATTGGTGAAATCCTTATCTTGGAGCAATACTTGAGAACGCTTTCTCCTGAGCTGCGGGTCTGGATTAAAGAACGTAACCCAGAATCTGCTGCGGAGGCCACTAAACTGGCTGATGTGTATGTGGCAGCACGGAAGACAGGCCAGCCATGGCGTTACATCACATGGGAAAGTAAGGATAACGCAAGCCAGTACCTCAGTACTACCAAAGGCCATCTACCATGGTGGGTAAGGCCCTTATGAGAGGAAGCCAGCCCTCTGATCTGGCATCCAGGCTCCCTACCAAAATGCTAATTAGTTATGTGGAATAGAAGGACATAAAACCAATGTGCCCCCAAAACTCCAAAAGATACCTCAAATGTGTTGTGTGTTGTGTGTTGAAACTGAACTTGGTGGAAAAATGACTTAAATTGAAATCAATGGTAAAACCCTAAATGCACTCCTAGATTCAGGCACTGATCAGAACCTTGTACACAAACATTTTGTACGACCAAATTTCATTAACAAAAATGACACTATCCCTGTTTGCTGTGTTCACGGGGGAAACCCTACCCAACAGCAGACATGTACATCAAGGTACAAGGGCAAACCTGCCTCCTAAACATTGGTGTTGCTGATAATCTACCTTATCCTGCTGTGCTTGGTCGAGGCCTGCCCATGTTGTTTGAGTTATTGAATTCCAGCCATGAATGTAATGTGACCAGAACTCAAGCTAAGAAGGAGGAGGAGCCCTTTCAATCTCTCCGTGCCCTACCTTTCTATGATGCAGATCTGGAGAACGCACCTGGAAAAACTCATAAGTCACGCAAACCGAGAAAGCAAGAGAAATTTTGCCATACTGTGGTATTACCATCTTCCAGCCCTGAACTGCCCTTGTTTTTCAGAATTCCTAACAAAATGACCCCATAGACCTTCCGGTAAAGGAAGTGGACTTTTATTTTGAAAAGCAATGTTTATGCGTGAATGCGAGATGGACAGCAGGGCTACGGATCTTGTTACAGGCGGCTGCAAAACAATTCCAGTACACTTCCGGGAAGATTCCTGCGAAATCCCCACGCTGAGGTTGGTTGCCACTATTCTCTCCCTCTGGTGTGTTGATGCTAGTCTTACTGGCTCAGTCTGGTCAGTTGATTCTTATCTCGCTGGCCCTCCCATTCTGACTCCTTGTCACAGCGCTGTCAGTCATACCCTGTTATTTCCCTCCCACTCCACCTAATCAGCTCATTCTGTACACCTGCTAGTCACATTCACCTCAGACTCACCCGTCTACCCTACTCACAGTATTTAAACCCCAGTCACTCATTCACTCGTTGCCAGATCATTCTCCGCATTCATGCTAGACCTTCCAGCGGTTTCTTTTGGACTGATTTCCCGTTGCTGACCCTGCCTGTCTTGGACTACCCGTCTCGCCCCGTAATCCACCCAGTCTTCTGTCCCCGACCGCGTCTTTTCCTGGTGACTCCAACTGTTTGTTGGCATTGAGGAAAATAAAGTACTCTGATTGGAACTGCTATTGCTGTCTCTCGTATTGCATTTGGGTCCGTACCTCACCCGTTACACTCCTAGCGTCTACATACACACACATGAGGCTGGTGTCTCTACACTATCTTGTCCTAAACCTTTTGTTGTCCTCCGTGTCGAGACAACTCCTGTCATTTCAAATCTATTCAACCCTGCCTGCTTGGCGTCTCCCTATATTTGTCTATGGGCCTTCTTCTAGCTTCTCCTTTCCCTCCGTTAAATTGTAATTCATTTACACAGATA